CGTTGTTCAGGTTTAAATGAATTCGTTAATTATTTTCATCGGGTACAATTTTTCTAAATGCAAACGTGGCTTTTCGCATGAGTAAGTCACTTAATTTATGTATATGTATGTATGTGTGTGTGTAGATATGTGTAAATTTACGTTTTCCACTCTACGACCCAACGTTTCTCTCTCTCTCTCTCTCTTTCTCTCTCTCTCTCTCTTACTTAAATTCTCTCCAAATTCTCAGTGACATACGTAATTCGTTGAAACTATGAAGTGTCGATAGAAGTCCTCTGTTTGAATAGACGTTTATTGCGCACTTGGAATGAGGATATTAGGGAAGCCAAACCAAGGGGAAAACGAACTAATTAGTCAAAGTACACGAGAGTGCTAATGTAGTCGAGTAACGCAAAATGTTCAGAATTCATGAACCATAATAAGAAAAAAAAGAAAAAAAGAAAAAAGGTTATATGACTGTTTAATGAGAATAAAAAATAAATCTTTATCGGTTAATTATTATTACTTATTTACCGATTTATATTTGTGTTCAACGAACTAATTAATAATTTGATATATTATAATCATTTTAATTATAAAGTGCAATAAATGAAAATGAGCAATTATTTCAAAGACAAAAGTGTATATATAATAATAATACATGTAACTATAATAGTAAATATATTTTGTGATACAATATAAATTATATTGTGTGTGTGGAAATTTAGAAAAGATGGCTCTTTCTTCGAAGGAGAGAAACTGTATATAGGAAGAGAAGTTGATGCGAAAGAAATGAAGCAATTAGCCAAAGTACCAGCAAATGAAGCTTAATAAGGGTGCTGCGCTCGTCCTCTCATGGTTAAAATATACTTACTGCTACGCGACCGGCAACTAAAAAAGAAAGACCAAAAGGTAGAAGAGCAAATATAACGAGAAGAAGAAGAGAGAGAGAGAGAGAGAGAGTTATGCGGAAGGAAAAATGTAAATTTTTTAAAAACCTTGACGAACATTTTCAAATATTATCTTTTTTACAAAATTTAATATCTTACCACGGCACACTTGCATATTAAATACTGTGAATAAATAATCTTACAAAAATTTTACACAAATTTCCATTACCATCCTATATGAACAAATATTCTCGTCAAAATAAACATATATAAAATAAGATAAAAATAATAAGTAGAAATCTATTCCAAAAGATCATCATTCTTATAAATTACATTTTTTTTTTCTTAGTAAATTTTCAAGAAGTATTTGTAAATCAATAACAACAAATTTTACGTTATATAGTTGACCTCATTATTTATTTACTAACGTTAAAATACAACACCGATACGCATTTCTCTTTTATGTTTAAAAGCACAAACGTGAGAAATAAAAATAAATTACTCTCTGTAAATGGGAAAAGTCATTACCAATGTCATAATGATCCCCAATTGTTGAACGTATGTAATGTTACATTGTCGTAAGAGATTTTTCCAACCTCTATATTCTTTTCTTTTCTCTCTCTGTTAGTCAAGCCCAAATAGCTAATATAAATCAACCCTTGCAATATCGTTGTACCTTGCGTCTTAGACATTGCTTTTTGCTAAGAATAGAGTAACAACTAAAATACGTATAGGCGTATTGTTTTTCCAAGTGATAAAATATATCCGCGTGGATGATACGGTTTAAATGTTTCTCCTCCATACCTTTCACCCTTCTCTGCGTTTCATCACACAATCATAAATACTACACACACAACACCTAACTCGATCCCGGGACTCTTTTTTAATGTCGGTACCATAATTCCGCACGATTTAACACGAATTATATCGCGTCGACAATTTTTCTCTTAATCTTTTTCTTCCTATAATTTCACTTATAAAGGTGTACCTATCATTTATTTATATATATTATTTTTTATTAAATTCTTACGCTCTAAATTGAAAAGGTTTGTTTCAATATTGAATTATATTATACAAGATTTCTACTTATACATTTGTAAAAGAAAAAGGATAATAATAATAATTTCAAAAGAAATAAAACAATAATTTTTGCAGTAATATCTATAGATTTAAAAGATAATTGTACAAAAAGTGTAAGCAACAGGCTATAACACGGAACATGCATTTATTCCACGTTATTTATATACGTAAATGTATATATATATATATATTACATGTACAAATAT